GCAAGGAATCGAGGCAAAGAATCTGCGGTGACGCCAGTCGTGGACGGGCGCGCGTGTTTTGTGGAGCCCACTCTGGGCGGGCGGGCAGCCCTCTTGTCCCCTCCCAGGACTCGATCTTCCCCGTCGTGGGGCTCCTCCCCCCCGCAGTTAACCTTTGCGATGCCACCTGACAGCTGTGTGCCCCGCCCCAGCCCCTCCCCCGCGTCCGCGGCTGGAATTAACCCTTTGATGACATCATCGCCTTGGATTCTCTGGGGAGCGTGTTCTCCACTGGAGACCTTTGTGCTGCCTGGGCGAGTCATCCCCCAGGCCCTTTGGGGCAGAGAGGCATTGACACCCTTCCGGAACTACTGCTCCCATTCCGTAGAACGTAGGGGCTATGTTTGCCCCCTGAGTTTCCTATGTTGCTGAAGCGGTAGCCGGTCATCCTCCTGCCCCAGCCTCCTTCGGTAATGAGACTGCTTAGTGGGTGTGCTTCAAGGGTTACTTTTGAGTGAACGGAGATCACTAGCAGCATTATCGTGGGGGAGGTTGCCGTTGACATTTGACCTCCTCAAATGTCTATTGATAACAATTCAAATATCCCATAATGCTACAGGTAATTTTAACTTTTGTTCCCGACGGTGGCTCACTCTGTAGCCTTGAATGGCTTAGAACGACCTGGGCATTGGTCGGCCTGCTTCTACCTCCTAAATTTTGTAATTAAAGGAGTATTCCACCGTGCCCGGCCTGTTTCTAACTTCTTGTTTGTTTGTTTGGGTTTGAAAAGGTGTCGTGTTGCCCATCCTAGGACAAAACTGGCTATGTAGCCAAGAGCAGGTCTTGAATTCCTGCTCCTCTTAGCTCGGCTTCACGCACTAGGATTATAGGTGTATGAGTCACATCATGGCTAATTTTAACTTTTTAAAATTCAGATGTGGGCCTGCTGAGATGGCTCAGTAGTTAAGAGCACTGGTTGCTTTTAGTTCATGTTCCGGCACCCATATGGCAGCTCACGACCATCTAGTTCCAGGGAGTTTAATGCTTTCTTCTGACTTCTGCACAAATGCGGCACAGACACATTCATGGAAAACAAATAATATACATGTAAAATAAAGTTTGGATTTTTTGTTTGTTTGTTTGTTTCAAGAAAGGGTTTCTCTGTGTAGCCCTGACTGTCCTGGAACTTGCTTTGTAGACCACGCTGGCCTTGAACTCAGAGATTTGCCTGCCTCTGCTTCCCAAGTGCTGGTGTATGCCAGCAGGCAAAACAAAATAATCTTTTTAAAAACAGGTTTGGATGTAATAATATGCTACCCTAAGTTGCCCTATTATATGTGATTGTTTCTTTTTGGGTGCTAGAAATTAAATTGAAGTCCTATATACTAAGCAAGCATTGCTTTACCATTGAGATATACCTCCAGTGTTACTCAGTGAATTCTGTGTGTGTGCACATACTTGCTTGACCACCACCAAAAGGGTAAAAATAAAAACAAAAACTTTGCTGGCATTGCAGAATACTTTTTCTTACTCTTTCCCTGATACTCCAAAGGGTATGACACCCATGAACATAATTTAAAAATCTTTTTTGAAGGGGAATCAGGATTTGTAGCTCTGTAGAACGCACTGCCAATGGGTCTGGAAGAAGATGAAAGGTCATTAGTTGCTTTCCAACCAAGGCTTAAAGTTTCTAGTTGGGAAACAGAAACACAGTTGGGCATTTTCCCCTGGAAGATACCTCATTCTGGAAGACAGTGCTTTTGCCAGTGACACTAATGAACTAGGTGCATTTGTTGCCCCTTCCCCCAGACACAGCCTTATTCATAGTCTGCATGTTTTGCAGGTTGAAGTCATTTCTAAAACTGTGAGTCCATCCTTGGCTAGTCTTGAACTCCTTCCATCAAAAGGCTATCTCCTCTAGTAGGAGGTTTGAATTGCAACTTAAGACAGAACCTTAAGAGGGAAAAAAACTCACTTTCTGAGTGCATGCAGGCATGTATGTCTGTGTAACATGCCCTTTCTCGGCGTCCAAGGAAGCCAGAGAAGGACACATAAGCCTCTGGAACTGGAGTTACAGTTTCGAACTACTGTGTGGGTGCTAGAACCAAACACTGGCCTCTGCAAGAATGCCAAGGGCTCTTGCAGATGGTTTAATCTTGGAGCCACCTCTCCAGCCTGAAGACAAAACCTCCCGTTTTGTTTCATTCTGTTAGTCCTGGGGGATCTATCCATAGCCTCATGCCCATACTCTACTACTGAGCCACAGGCTCACCCTGAATCAGAGTGCGTTCTTGACTTTTATGTAGCCTCGTATGCACTGCTGAGCATTTCTGGTTCGTGTCTTCCAGCAATAGATGCCATAAATCTTAACGGCTTTGGATTTTGGTTGGTTTGGGTTTCAGTGTTGTTTGCTTTGTAAAATTACATTTATTTTTGTGTGAATGTGACTCTGTGTAACACAGTTGGCAGTGTGTGTGGAGGTCACAGGACGACTTTCAGGCATCTGTTCTCTGCTTCCACATGTGAGTCCCAGAGGCCTTTACCAAGTGAACCATCGTGTGTGTGTGTGTGTGTGTGTGTGTGTGTGTGTGTGTGTGTGTTAATGTATATTGGTGTCAAATTCTGCCCAATTATTCAGACCATTGTTGAGTTCGTTCATGTTCAATATGTCTGTTATAAAACTGGACCTTCTTTTATTCTCACAACAAATGATTCCACTTTTCACAGACTCATATAGAAGGTTTAGACACGTTTAACTTGGGGACCAGGACATCTGCTGAGAGACTGTCTTCTACACAGGACAGGGAATCGGCAACAATGAAATCTCAACAACACAGTTGCCTAAGCAAGGCCTGAACAATGACAACACTACCTGACATGCCAAGGAGGAAGAGGAAAAATCTTCCAGGACCCCACCCCTGGATGAAGAGCTAAAGGCAATTAATGGCTGCTGAAAGAGAATCGGTCTTCCCCAGGAATGAGCCCCTCTACTTGGTTATCCAATACCAAGTGGTCAGTTCTAAAAACAATATATACGAGTAACACTAAATGAACTCAGCAGGTTGTATTTATGTGTTTATATATATCAACAATTAAAAACAAATAGTATTACGTAACATGTAAAACAAAACAGAAAGGCTCAAACCTGAAAGGGAAGCCTATTTTCCAAACTCACCAATGAGGATGAAATAGCAACTGGGCTGAGGTTGAGAAACCTAGATTACTGGCCGCCCTC